ACTTGAAGTTTGAAAGCAAAGTTGCTTCAGGGTCATATGGCGATCTGTAAGTTAATTGCTTTTGTAGCATGTTCTGTACAAAAGCTGATTGAACTTTGAGCCTTGGGGTGACACTCGTTTGGTTAATTCAGGTATAGAGGTACATACTGCAGTCAGGAAGTTGCTATTAAAATCCTCAAGCCTGAGCGCATAAACACCGATATGGAGAAAGAGTTTGCGCAGGAGGTTTTTATTATGAGGTTTGCATTTTACTTCCATTTATCGTTTTGTTATACAATGTGTATGAAAGTTAAATTTCATAAATGGAGACATGTCTCATAGATTTTACAGTTAATATATCTACAAAATACTCTTTGCAGGAAAGTTCGACACAAAAATGTGGTACAATTTATAGGTGCATGCACCAAACCGCCAAGTTTGTGTATTGTGACAGGTATATTTGATTGAGTTCCTAATTTTATGTGGTAACTTAAAAATTAAATGAGAGTTGAAATCATTGTTTTGTTTTCTTGTTGCTTTATAAACCTGTTGAGTCTCGTTGCCTTATTTTCCCATTCCTCATTGTTTTTCTTTTTTATTTTCCACTGCAGAATTTATGTCTGGTGGAAGTGTCTACGACTACCTACATAAACAGAAGGGTGTATTCAAGCTTCCATCCCTACTGAAAGTAGCAATAGATGTTTCCAAAGGGATGAACTACTTGCACCAAAACAACATAATCCACCGGGATTTGAAGGCTGCCAATCTTCTAATGGATGAAAACGAAGTAAGATGCATTCTTCAGTTTGTATTTATTCTTTCTTTTTCCTTGGATAAAAGGAATATATAGGATAGAGAACTTAAGCATGAGGTTTAGAGAGAATTTATTAGCAAATAAGATTAGAGATCTCATATCTTAATCGTAAAATTAATAAAACAATATTTGAATAATGATCATATTGGTAATCTATCAAATAATTAAACTAAGCTACCCTATTTATATGCTCCAAAATATAACCAAAATACAGGATATATCTATATAGAAATTTTACAAATTGAAATAACTCTTAATTGAATAACCTATACTAGAAACATTTCTAAAAATAGCAATTGAACTAAACAAAAAACAATAAACTCATACTAATGATCAGCCTGTAATAATAATTAAGCTAAATACCTCAATAACAACACAATAATCTAGTGGTTGAGACTTTTGTGTTCTACTTGAAGGCCATGACTTCAAACTTCACCAAAGACATCGAACTTGAAATTTAGTAGGTGTATTATTTGGTGGTGGCTTGCTTATAATATTTGATTAAATGGAATAAAAAAACTTAATTCATTAGTGTATTGATGGAACTTGAAAGACCAAATTAAGTTAAATTTCAATGAGTTTATTACGTTTTTGGACAAAAAAGAACGTTTTGTGGCGGGTAGGTTTTCTTAATGGGGCAGGCAGATGGGTTGAAAACCCGACCTAGCTTTTTTTCGATCCAAAAATGTAAATTAAGTAACTCAATAAGGCATTAAACATTGCAATTCCATAAATATTTATTATTATTGAAATATGCCCACTTCAGTTTTCTTTTGGAAGAAGAAATAATTTCGACCTTAGTACTTCTTTGTTCTGCATCATTCTACTATATTTGGTGAAAAACTCAGAATCGAGTTCTGAAATGTCTCAAGGGGAAAAAATATCAAATTTGGAATTTTTTTTCTAAATACTTGAAGCTTGAAAACTTGAAATTGCTGGGAGAAAACAAGAATTGCTTCCAAAATCAAGGATTCCCAAGACTTAGTGAACCAATTATGACTTACAAAGTCCATAAAAGGAAGAATAGCTAAACTGTCCTCATTACTTTTAATAGTCAAACTTTTGGGGTAATATTTTCAGATGAGACTTTTTCTTCTTTAAATCAATGAGAATACCAACATTTTCGACCATAACAACATCATTGCTTACAATTAAATCAAAAGATCCATCAGTTTATGACTCAGTTTGTATAATTTTTTTTGAAATAAAAAGTATAACCATATATAAAAGGTATTACCGCAAGGGAGTGCAACCCATGTATAAAAAATTTACAACTCAGTAATACTATCTATGATATGTCCAATAACCTCCACCTTATACATGTCATGCTTTAAAAAAATAGAGCTAAACTAATGAAACCTTCTATCTTTGATTTTAGATATATCATTCTCCACCCCATCAGAAGCTTTTCTATTTCTCTCTTTTCCTATCACCCAAAGAATAGTTAAAGGAATAAGTTTAATATTTTTTTTTTACAAAACCCTCCCCACGCCCATAACTCCTCCCTCACCGAACTTGGCCCAACCCATCAAATCCCCAGAAGACTATAGACCATAGACCACAGATTGTAGGCGACAGGGATGACTCAGTATGTATAATAGAAATTAATCTTCCACAACATCCTTGGTTGTTTTATCCATAACTTTTTTGAAATAAAAGTGAGAAAATGTATTAAATATAGGCACCAACGAGATGCCACCCGTATACCAAAGATTTACAGATCGACGATAGTCACATCATCTTGCTCCAACAGAAAAAAGAGAGATGTCGTGAGTATGATGGTTGTTACATAATTGTAGCTGCATCGAAGATGGTTTAAACTTAATGAAACAACTTTCAAGAACTCTCCTATGAGCAATCAACAAAACCTTTTTGTAATCTTTTCAAACACCATGTAGGAGTGGAGAGGGCGACTCTACCGAGTTGCAATCTTTTTCTTTTGGAAGAGTGATAATAGTTACTTTCATTATGAGATGACATTCATCTGTGGAGGTTGGATAGACTCCAGGAAATGCTTGGACATTTCTATAATAAATTCTTTATAATCAAGATCCAACACTGCTGAAGATGGTCTAATTCTTGCAATTATTTTTAGAATTAAGATCTCTCTAACA